AATCAAATCTGTCATGTACCCAGAATAAATTACTTTATTGATGCTTCTTTAATGAAAAATCTACAACAAACAAAAGAAAAAGACAAAGAAGCAGCCGAACTAGCAATCCTCAACAACTTTTTAATTTTTACACCAGGAGCTAAAGGTCTGTTTCAGGAAATCACATCCCCAGCAATCAGCGGTTGTAGGATTAAGTTGTAAAAGGGTTCATACACCACTAGTTGGCAGTGTTGTACATATATTGTTTATGAATTGTTGCCAGCTAGTAAGTGTCAAACTGTACTTACAGTTTAAAATGAGCTTCTGCTAGTTTTTCTATGGCAGAAGCGCTTTTGAAGTTGTGGACCTAATTATTTTTTAAAGCACTTTAAAAATTGTGGAGCTAATCTCTGGATTAGCGCTGCCCACCACTGCAGAGAGGGCAGCAGGCTGTGGACTATCATGAGTTTAAATTTAAAAAAATCTTACCCAGAGTCGTTGCTTTGCTTTTATTGATTCTGTTTCCCTTCATGATGAAACCTGAGCTTCTTTCTTGTCCAACAACTGCCCTTTTTAAAAAAAAGTTTTTATGTGTTTACTTTTATACCCCGTGTTTGATGAATTATTCTGTTTCTTTTTGTTTTTGATGAGTGATCAGCAACACTTCATCACTTCAGGCTCTATAAACTGGTCTGAGCTCAGTTCCACAGTCGTCTCATCTCCTCCTCAGCAGGACTGCCTGTAAATACTGCAGAATATATTTGGGACTAACGTAAAACACTCTAAAGCAAAGAGTCCCAAAACTTAAAAACTCCACTGGAGAGTCGATGTCTTCGTCTTCAGAGTCCCTGAGGCGGCTGAGACCAAACGGTTTCTGTAAATCCTCATGATATCAAGTCAGAAGCAGGAAACACAGACCAACAATCAGAACCATGATGTGTTTCTGGATCTGGGTTTTATATAAAAATACCAGAAATCACTCAGTTTGACCAGGTTTAGCTGATTTAACAGCTGGACCTGACAGGTTGGGTCTGGATGATGTGGCTGAAAATGATCACAATAAGAGTTCCTTACTGTTATTCTTCTGCAAAGTTCAACATTGTTGTGCTCATGTTAGCGTCTTTCAGCTAATATGTGACCCATCATATCAAAATAAGGATTAAGTCAAATTTGGTSATAATGACCTCATCATATTTTCACATTCTTGGCTTTAAAATCTATATTTTGATACTTGGATCATCCTGATATCATTAGTAGATCCAGAGATATTATTTAATTTGTCTTGCTGGTTACAATAATACATAAATATTTGGTCTGAATCCTAATTTTTTCATTTTAATGAGGAATATTTAATGTCCTTATAAAGACTCAGAAATGATTTTAAAAAGAAATGATTTAAAGATGTTATGCTGGTGAAGACTGACATCTAGTGGTCAACTAGAGCAACTACATGGAAAACTTTAAAATCCAAGCTCTTATTTTGAAGGGAAGATAGTTTCCTGTACTCTGTGCTTTRGTTTCCCATCACAAATCAAATCCGTCATGTACCCAGAATGCATCGCTTCAGTTTTCCAATAAACAGTTTTAAAATTACTTTATTGATGCTTCTTTAATGAAAAATCTACAACAAACAAAAGAAAAAGACAAAGAYGCAGCCGAACTAGCAATCCTCAACAACTTTTTAATATTTACACCAGGAGCTAAAGTTCTGTTTCAGGAAATCACTGAACTTGCGCTTTAAAATTAGCTTCTGCTAGTTTTTCTATGACATCAGCGCTTTTGAGGTTGTGGACCTAAATATTTTCATAAGCGTTACAGAAATTGCGGAGCTAATTTTTGGATTAGCGCTGCCCACCACTGCTGTTTACCTGCTGTATATTAAAAAGTTAATGTTTCTAAATCAAATAATTTATGTGAAGAAACTGAGCTGAAACGTTCAGAGAGTTTTTGTTGCATCGTAAGAACCCTGTCTGTTACTTCCTGTCTGCTAACGCCCACTTCCTGTTTGCCCCAGGTATCTGTACCTGCTGTTCTCTGACGACGACCACCTCCCGTTCGATCACTGGGTGTTCAACACGGAGGCCCACCCCCTGCCCGTCATCAGGAAGGATCAAACGGACCGACCCAACGAGGTGGAGTAGTGGACCGGAACCTCTCATCCTGTACATCTGAGCCTTCAGCTGTTTGTCTGCAACAGGAAGTGGCTGCAGATTTCTCCTGATCACATTTTCTTTTCTTTTCTTTTTTTAAATGTTTTAAGTTTCGGATCACTGAGGTGAATTTCGCTCTGTGGATCCACTGTTGTTGTTTAAAGCCAGAAAAAAGTGTCGGCTGTTGGAAACTCAGGTTTGTGTTCAGAGACCAGAACCTGCAGACGATCAGCTGCTGGGTCCGTTTTCTTCTTGTTTCTGTGAGGGAGAAACCAGCCGATCTGTAAACGAACAAACTTTACTTCACCTCGTTTTGTTTTTTTCACCTGAATTCGAGCCAGTTTTGTTGAAAAAGTTTGGATTTGCTGTTTTTCTCAGTGTGTGTGTGTCTGTGGGAGGTGAAGGGAACGACGCAGCACAAGCAGAACTTCTGTAAACTTTGGGAGCTCCTCTCCTTCCTCAGAGCGAGCAGTCGCAGCGTTTTTCTACCTGCCGCTTGTTTCACCTTCTCATGTTTACACACAGCGACTCTTTGCCCCGCCCACTTTTTCATCCRGTCATTTCCACCGGAGCGCGGGGTTTTAAGCTGAGCGTTTGTCCAAATCTTTCTCTCTAGTTTTGTTAATTTTCTTTACAAAGAACTCGTTTGCACATTCCCTTTTGTTTACTGTCTGTGACCCAGAGTCTGGGTTTCACGTCCTCGGCTGCAGGATCTTCTCTCCTCTGTGAGGACTCACCTTCACCCCCACAGAAAGCCATACTGACCTGTTGTTTTGGTCCACATTCAGACTAAAGGTGTGTTTTTGTGTCGCTCTTTCRGTTTTATTTATTTTTATTTTTTTCTTCCAAAGTTGAAAGATTTCTCCTGACGCCAGGATTGAGTCCAGTTTTAGTCTTGGATTTAGTGCCTTCACTGATGAAGAGGAGTGTGACGGAGAGGCAGCTCGCACAAAAACACCGAGGAGAATATTCACTTCCTTCAGCTTTAAGTAAGTTCCCGTGTCTCTGATGAGGATTAGACCAAAACTAGACGTGGATTAAAGGATTACTTCGACCTTTTGATTTGTTATTCAGAGAAACTTCAGCTTGAAAAAAGAAACTGAAGAGTTGGTGAAAAGGGAGATAAGTGGGAGATCAGACCACCGAAGTTCCATCAGAGGCTAGAATAAAAACAGACTTTAGTTTTATTTTATTTTTACAGATTCTGATGATTCAAACCAAAATAAATAAATAAATAAATAAAAGCTCTGTTGTTTCCTGGACTGCAGCGACATCRAGTGGTTAAACATTGACGTTACAGATAATCAGAGCTGAACCAAACCTCTGCAGACATCTTTAAAAATCTGCAATTACCCAGATTACAACAGTCCTGTGAGTTTATTTTAAGAACTAAACTTATTTCTTTTTTTCGTGAGGGGAAGGAGAGAGGTTTGCACCTCCTGCAAAAAGAAATCTCTAAGGTTTTTACAGGTTTGAAGGAGCTCCTCAGATCAGAAATGTTAAAAAAAAAACAAGATGCCGGTGAATAATCTGAATAATCTGAATAATCTGTCATCATGATGAAACAGAAAAAGGTTAAAAACAAAACTTTTATTTTGAATTTGAAGACGTTTTGCTTCCTGTTGTTTGAATTGAGAAATCCTCTTGGATAATAAGGGAAACGTCTTCACCTTCAGAATAAAAGTCCAGTTGTTTTTATTTTATTGTATTTTTTAGCCTTTTTCTGCAAATAAATAAATAAACAAAGTAGAAATTGTGTCCGGCTGCATTTACTTATTTAAACTAAAGTCCTAAAACAGCTGCATTTGGTTGTTCTACCAAACAGAAAAATATCCCCACAGCCAGTAATTTACTTATAATCTGCACTAATCCAAGTACAGATTAGATTTATGTATATTTAAAGACTGTTTCATCTTATAAAGTGTGAGTCATCACATCAAAACYAGMWTTAAGTCCAAAAGTTGTTTAAGGAGAAAAAGGCAAATATAGTGTTTTGACTAAAATGTTAACAAAAATTGCATTTTGTCAAAATATAATGAATAAAAGCCTTAT